TTCAACAGGTTCCATCTGATATTTCAGCAGGTCACGGGTGTGTGAACTGTGCTAGGCCCGTTGGTGGTGAGGCGATTATGGATCTCAGTACAGGTAGCGATTCGTACAGCCGTTGGCTTCCTTGAGCTGTCGCTTGCCTGAGAGACAGGGTAGGGCGTGTAAGGTTGCCTTCCCGCGGTCGTGCAACAATTGGGACTCCCTCTTGGGGCAGGGCCGAGGGCTGGAAGGAAGGAGCCATTGAGAATCTTCATCGCATGACAAGGTTCATGATGGAACATGCCCTGACGATGGTGAAAGATCATACAAAAATAGAGTGTACCTCCTATCTCTACGCTGTCAAGTGGAAATGGTATAGCACCGTCTCCTCGGTGGATTCTGTTGACAAGAAGAGGCCGTCGATGGTTATAGAGGAATCTAGTTATTAATTTCGAGAGAGAGAGACAATCTTACATCTAGTAGAAGTGAATTAGGGAAGACAGATCAAATCAGGAATTTGTGACATTTAAACATCTCATCATCAAGAGTACGAGCGGCAGTCTAGCCAGTCAAACTGAGAGAGTTAGACAACAACAATCATTACACACATGAGTACAGTCCTGTTTTTCCCAGTCAGTGATTCGGTGTTGGCTAATCTCAATCAAATTGCACTCAGGGAGGGAATTCAGTATCAGTATGTCAATGCAGTCGGCTTCAGGCATGGAGATCTGTCAATCTTCATTGTCCTCACCAGTTTCGCAGAGGGTACCATCTATGATTTGAGATCCTATGTGAAGAAGGGCAAAGAGACCCATGAGCACTTCGAYTCAGTTKGGATTTCGGCAGCCAGTACCATGAKGAGAAAGAGAAGGAGTTTGATCGAAGTGGTATTTAGCTGATCCGCAACTTCRGACCAAAGCTCTACTGAGACTATCCCAAGCCTCCAGTACCCTTCACTCTCACTGATGGTTCTTGCTGGGGCGACTTCATAGACTTGGCCAAGAGTGACTGAGCCTTCCGAGTTCCCGCATCTCAGACGGGGGATCTTCTCTCAGCCGTATTTTCCTACATTATGGGAGGAGTTTTGTGCCATGGTTGATTTCCGGATCATGGGACTTGGATGAAAATGCTCARAGCTATCAGGTTTCAGGTGGCATTATATTCCGAAGCCACAAACTCAGAGAGTACGGGGATGTGGCTCGAGGCACAAGAAACTCGCAGCAAAATAACAGATTGAGTGTGAGATTCTGAGGGATGAGTGAGGACTCTTGATTGGTGTCGGCCATGCTCTCTACATGCGTACTTTCAGAGACTATTAGGAGTTTTCAGTCTTCCCTCACCTAACTTGCTATTGCTCGAGTCAGTCAGTCTTGTGTCTTGCATTGTCATTGTCGATGATTGTCTTTTCTTAATAATTTTGTCACAGTTCTCAAAATMAAAAAATTGCGGAATTGATACATGCATGACACATCAAAATTCCATGATTATTGTTTGCATCGTCCTTTACTGTTCCGAATCAAAATAAAAGATTCATAAGACCGGGGACCGGCGAAAACCGCAATTGAAGGGTCTCGCTCGAAGCCGGACGTACACAATAGGAAGGGATTCACATTTGTTAATTTATTTTATTTATTGCGAACGATATCCAAAATCCTGTGTGACAGCCTCTTGGCTTTCTGGTCGCCTAGAGAGGCCCGACTAGAAAAAGTGCGACAATGTGGAAGTCTAACGTGTATTGTTCGATTTCCTAAATGAAAGTCCATCTGGACATGATTGTGGTCAGATGCATGCAGGTCCTCTCGAAATTGCGTTGCTACTTGTTTTTCAGCGAAGCACTTATTCTTCTCTCATTTTTCTTTTCACTTTTTTTATTTTTTTCCCGCCTCATCTTTCCCCCCCCCACAAGGGCTAATTTTTTTGAGCCCAACCAATTCAACGGCAGGATGATCGATTGCGTTGTTACTTGCTCGCCTTGCCGTTTATCTGGTTGATCGGTCTCGTTTTCTTTTTTGCTTCATTTTTTTTTAATTTATTTTTTGTTTCGTTCTCTATTTCCTTTCGTTTTGATTTCTTTTTCGTTTCCTTTTTTTCTTCCCTCAGCCATGACCACCACCTTATCTCAAGGGACCCCCAAAACCACACCCACGATAATTCTCTCGGCCCAACCGCTGCCCCCTCTGTCCTACCTCAAAGTTTGTCAARCATAGCAATTATCCCATTTCGTCATTTTTCGAATAGAATAGATATTTTCGGTAAAACGGTCAATTTCTCGAACAGAACAATCATTTTTCGAATAAAAGAACAATTTTTCGAGTAGTCGCTTCTATGATACTTATTCGATCCGTGGCTTATTCGTTGGATCTGTTCTTGTGGTTTTCTACTTAGATATTTGGACGTGACAGGGAACCATTAACTGGACGTGATCTTACCTAACAATTCGACCAGAAGGTTCGCTGACTCCTCAAAGAAATCAGACTGCATATACTCCTGCAAGGAAGGTAGAGAGTGGAAACCACGTCCTCCTTCCCTCTGTGAGGGGGTGAAGCACCCCGTTAATTTTCTGTTTTTTTTTTTTTTTAATCATCGATATTAATAAGCATCATTTCTTCTTTTTTTTTTTACTGCGACACATGCTGAAGGCTGTTGATTCGACGATTCCCTTTTCTTTTTTTTTTGACCAGCGGGATTGCCGGAAACCCTGAATTGTTTTTCAGCGTTGCTTTGAGATCAGATTGACAATATTCTCGGTTTTGCAGCCAAGATAGAGGTCGAGGTAACTCTTCTGCTGTAAAAATTCAGACAGGAAACAAATTTCAGAATGACAAGAGGTCAGAACTAGTATCAAATGAGGAAGCGAAAGCATAATCCTTTTTAAATTTATTTTGTGGCCGACAAGCAGCCTGGTTCACGAGGAACCTGCATTCCCGGCCTTAAGGTATTCAAACTCTCAAGACAGGGACACTATAGAGTGTGGCATGAACTGAAGATTTGGAAGACAGAGATTCAGAAATTTGAGAGAAAATCGTGCTTATAAAGAATATAGAAGACAGTCATGAACTCAGCCTGAAGTAAGACAAGAAGAAAAAAATGCAAGAGAGAGTACAGTTATTAGCATGAGAAGAAGAGGGAGCAGTACAAGGGGAAGAGAGTGAAGGAATAGGTACTAGGGCTCTACTTACTGTGGGAGTAGGGGCCCTTGGAGTATATGGAGGGGAAGAAGTGTTGGGCGCGCCATAGCGCGCTTCGAACTTCTTTCGAAGGTACTTCATCTTGTTAGGGGATGGGATTCTTTCGTAC